TCTTACTTGATTGTTCGACCTCTCAACGAGAGCACCAAATGATGGATAGAGTACCCGGGGGGTAGCTTATCCGAGGGGTTATTACGGGGAATAACAAGAGAGAAGTCAGAGCAAGTAAGTAGAGAGAGAAAGTATATTGGAGAGTGTTCAACGTTTTCAGCGTGGTTACAAATGGGGAAATGGGGTGCTATTTATAGTAGCAATAAATGCCGGACAGGGACACGTGTCAAGCGTCTATTGGCCGAGAGGTCATCTCAACGGGTTGGCGCTGGCAAACGCATCTGGCCGCATTTAATGCGGCTGTTGGATGGGACGTTGTACAGGGTACGGTGACTTGTACGCATGTGGCGCGGATATCATGTCGGGAGAGGTGCCCTCGGCTGTAGAGGACTAGCCGAGGGCTCTGAGTACCGAGGACCCCTTTGGTGCCGAGGGCTCCAGGTGCCGAGGGCTACTGGTTTTCGCCATTTTCCCAGTAACTTTGTTTTGCTGTCTTGGCCCTCCTGTGAGAGTTAGAGCCTTCGGCCAGGGGGCCGAAGGCACCCGTGGTGCCCATTGTGGGCTGCTTGGTACTATGGGCGCTGTGATTTGGGCCTGTTGTGATTTCTTGGCCTGTTGGGCCTTTATTGGAGTAGTAGGAGTCTGTGGGCCGGGGGTTCCCGGACCATATACTCCATCATATATATATATAGGGGTTAGTTCCTGTGAGAACACCCTCTTAGGAGAGGAAAAAAGAATGATATCCAACCTTTAATTAACTTGATCTAATGGCTTAGCATTTTTCGAAATTATTACTAGCTTCGGATCATTAGGCTCTCATATATGGCAACTCTCCAAGTGAAAATTAAATAAGGGGCATCATAGTAAATTTCATTCAAGCATTAATACGTATGTAGCACTATAAGAGTTGATACGTAAGAAGCTGAAACGCCTCCGTCCGGACGGCGGTTCCTGTCCGAAACCCCCGTGCGGACAACTCCATGAGAGGGTATTCCCGGTGGAAATTTTTGATGACGTTTTTGATAATATTCCTCATGAAGTCTAGTTTATGCATACCAAATTTCAGCTCAAAATTCAATCGGGAAGACAGCTAAACAAATTCTTAAAACATATTGCGCTTTATATTTGTTCAAAATGTGCTGTAAGTGAAGAGCCGTCACTTGGAGTGACGGCTTTTGTACTGTAAGAGAAGAGCCGCCACTTGAAGTGGCATCTTTTTTTAACCACGGTTAACCCAACAGTATTTTAGGAATTATTTTTAACCTAGCAGTATTTGGGAATTATTTATTTAATTAACATTACTCCGAGAAAAAACTCGAGTATTAGTGAATATAATATGTAATATTACTATACTCGAGTCCCTTTTAATCATTTCAAGATATTATAAGAGCCCGTTTGGTGGTCCTGTTTTTCGGATTATCAGGCTCATCAACCAACTTGTTCACCAAACACGTAACTTTTGATTTCGTGCACTGAGTTGTGTAATAATAAGAAAAAGTGAGATTGAAGTTACTTTTCTGACTGTATTGGCAAGCTGAAGTTACTGTAGATGATTATTTAACTATTTTGTCATATAATTTTTTCTATATTCTATTAACAAAATATATTTCAAATATAATTTTTTCATACATCTATAGAATCAGCCTATACAACCACTTCAACGAAAATTTCATAAATTTCAGCAGAATCAACCAATACACTCGATTTAAGTATTACCCTCTAAAACTCGAAAAAGTGAAATGATTTAGTATAGATCTATATTTGTTTTTGCAAGAAATCCTTTTTTCGTCGTATACGGAGTATGTAAACTTGTAAAGTTTGTTTTCATGTTCCGATCCTGTTTCTGGTTCAAAATTAATAAGGGCCGACTAATGCAATTTTGTTTCAGAAGAATGCAAGTTATAAAAATTTTAAAATTCTAATTAAAGGAAATACCGAATACTCATATGGATTAAATTCAAAAAGCCCTCCATAATAAACAAAAGGATCCGTGGCGCAATGGTAGCGCGTCTGACTCCAGATCAGAAGGTTGCGTGTTCGATTCACGTCGGGTTCACACCTTTTTTTTTAGTAGCTCTCCTCGGCTTTTTACTAAGAAAAGCTGCCTCCACAATTAAATGCTAACGTCTTAGTGAATTTTAATTTTGTTAATCTATATACTCCCACAATACTGAGTTTATGAAGGCTATTGACTGTCCGGGAATTGGAGGCAAGCGAGCTGACATTCAAAGAAGGTTTTTGGCTAGTAGTTGGTTTTGATGACCTTCAGTTATCATGAGTCTAGTGAGGAAAAATAGAAGGGGTTTCCTCCAAAATTAGGATGGTCTCTTCTAGACATGTCCTCGGTTCTAAGGAACCGGACCCGAATCGCTCGGTTCACATTTCAAAATATTAGTGAACTGGAACCCTATTCTTTCGGACAAAGGTCTCTATGTTATTTCCAATCCCACGAGCTGCTTTAGCCGTTATATACTCTAAAGGCAGATTGTAAACCTGGACCCAAAATCGGCACGATTCAAGGACTCCTTAAGAGGCCTACTAGTGTGCCCTAACATCCTTCTAAGCACTAAATTTTGCTTAAAAGATCAAGCTCCCTCCTTGACCACTCGGCGAATGTCTCCTTTGTGGTAAAATTGGAGAATGAACTTAGAAGCACCAATTTCTTCAATGGTTACTCCCTGAACTGGTCTCCAAATCACGACCATTGTCTCATGAAAAGAAATTGAACGGGTAGGTTTATCTAATACCACCCTTGCCACAACCAAGAAAGCAACTCCTCTACCTCCCTCGCCGGCTCCCTCTACCTGGTCTGCATCCAAAACCAAGCTCATGTTTTCTTCCTCAATGATGACGACTTTACTGAAATTCTCATCAAGCATATCCATTGAGAAATCTAACACAAAACAATTACAAGAGTGATCAAACTATGAAGACAAAGTAATATAATGAAGACAACACCCTCCTCACAGAGAACACCATGAAGACTGAAAACGAAATCAAACACACTGAGACAAAAACTCCTTGCGTTGAAAATCAACAATCAAAACATTAACACCGCTCAAATCGAGCATAAAAGAAAATCTCGGTAAAGAGACGTCGGACCAAAAGACGGGATAGTTGACCCGAGTGCCAAAGCAAAAGTAACTGGGAGCAAAACGAGTGATGAAGAAAACACCTGTTACCGAAAGTGATGCCAGAGACAGACAATAGATGATCAACATTCGCTGCAATCAATCATTCACTTAGAAATCTGTGTCACTCCAGATTGTTGTTGTTAGGGTTCCATGGGATCACACCATTCCATAAGTTATGCGTAGTATTATATTTAATTTAACCCATATTAAATTCTATGAATGACGAGAAAGTCAAAACGCATCTAACTATTTCAAAATATTTTCATAAGTATACTTGTGTACTTCTATATATAAAAACCACAAATTATACCGTAGGATTGGTATACCGTGAGCAAGGTGTCCAACCAAAAATTGTACCGTTTTTTCAAGTATAAATCACAAATCGCCTTGTGTCACTCAAATAGAGAGCTCGTCTGTTAAGTCCACAGGAGTCCCGCAGAGACTTGACTCCAATCTTCCACCTTGTTCTCCAATCTTCGACTTATCCGCTCCACGTTCTGCATGTGGAATTGGTATGCCTGTTGAGCATCTGCTCGGCGTAGAAACAATAGGTTTCCGCCCTCTTTGTAATTGCTCTACATCTGGGAGCGCCGCATCAGAATAGTAGGTCTCATTAATCTCCATACATCTGCGCTTCGTTCCCTACTGTACTTCGAAATCGCCAGGTCGATTTTATGCTCCTAGCTTAGAGGCCATTGGTTGTCTCTTTGACTGCATATGTGACGAAGCTCGAACACAATTCTAAAAACCCGATCCATTCTCGAGTCCCTATTGCAACCATGATTGTTCAATCCCATAGCGAAATCGTCAATTATTCCCCCCGGTTCTCATTGTCTCGCCCGGATTTCGTTGCAAACCCGATGATGAGCTTCATTGGTCGGAAACTCCCATTAGATGCCTGACTTTAATCCCATCAAATCCATCTACGATAGTGTTTACTTTATTAAAGCAATATACCTCAAACAGTATATAATAGACTAATATATTTTGATTTGGGATGAAGTTGCATTTCTATTAAAACAATTTACATTTCAATTTAGTTTAAGTTACATTTTAATTAACACGATTTACATATTCGATTTAACTTAAATTGCATTTAAATTAAGGTGAGTTACATTTTTTGTTTTTCTCGAATTACATTTTAGATACCCTCGAGTTACATTTCCATTTCCATAAAAAGATTTAAACTACTAGAGTAATGGAGTGTTTGCTAAAAATTAAAATAAATGTTTTTTAACTTTTGGCTTAAAAAGATGAAATGAATGTTTTCAAATGACAATTTATGATTAAATTAAGCACTTAAAATCTAAAAGTTGAAAGCAAGTGAAAAGGTGTTTTAAACCGATTTTCATTTTTTCTATTACACAAAAAACGCTTGTTTTATCAAACGCTATAAACTTTTGCGTTTTCAAAAACACTTTTTTCTCAAACATCAACAACTTTTGATATTAATTACTTTCTTCAAAATCACTTTAAAAAATCATTTTTTGAAATAGAATAATCGCAAACACTCCCTAAGACCTAAGTAACATGAGTTTTTCGGGGCTTAAGTTACATTTGCCACTCACTAAAGTTACATTTGGAGTAACGTGAATTACATTTCATTACAAACGATTTATCACATAAATAACTAGAAAAAAATTCAGTTATTGTCCATCCGCTTTTTTATTTAATTATTAAGTCAAATGACACCTATGAAAGTATGATTCTCACCGTGACCTGCTCCTGCGATGTAAAAACTCGAAAAAAAATAGTAACCTCTCATTAGGTGGCCACAGCAGGAAAATTTAGAATAATAATCCAAACTGAAATGTGTCGGTAACCTCACTACAAGTTAAAATATCTGGACTTTTTAGAAATATTTACCGGTCCTTCGAATTTTAACATGTCTATACTGTGTTTTTACACCCACCAAATTGAACTGATTCTCGTGTGTATTCCAAATTCTTGAAAAACTTCAACAATACTAATAATGAAACTATAGTCAGTCCACCACCCAAAATGAACAATCCTCTGTCTCTGCTCCAGCATCAACGTGAATTGTTCTTGCACCATCATCATACACCATATCCCCATCAAAATGTAAATAAAAATAAACATCGAACTGAGTAAAACATGGGAAGTTCTAAAATCAAATAATAAGAATGAAATCCAGGTTTAAAAAGATAGTTCAAGCTAAAGCAGAACGCATAGTTACCAAATCGTATGGAAAAGGTAAACTGCAGAAGTAATGAAATGAACTATTTATGCACCAGAACGGGAAATCTTTGACAAATTATTATGATATTGGTTGCAAATCAGACCAAGGATATATGTAGTATATTGAAAGCCGTGGCGAAAAGTTAATAAGCATTATTCACAGATTCAAATCCATTCTGTTATTATAAGAAAGTATGACACTCATTACTGAACGAGCCGGACAATTAGTCGGTGGAATGTCAATTGAATTTTAAGTTCAGTGGATAGCGATCTGATTCCAATCCAAGTACTTGCACACTTTTTCTTGAGCAACATCCACCGGCAAATTGGTTGACATTCTTGATGTTTACACCGTTTGATTGATGATATATTTTAATCCCCAACTAATATTTACAGTACATATTACGTACTACGTAATATTTAAAATTTCTATTTTAGTAAGTATTCTATAAAAAATATTAAAGCTCAAAAAACAAATTCAAATGTGAAAACAAAATGAGAAACTAATAAAAGAATTATGTTAAACCACATGCATTTGGTAAAATGATACTTTCTCCGTCTCATAAAATGTAAAGGTCCTCATTTCCATTTTAGGAAAAAATAACTATCTTAAACAACAAATTAATCATTAAATGTTAGAAATAATACATTTATAGCATCACAGTTATCAACATTAAACTCATTATATTATATACCTATTAAATTATTTTTTTAAAATATACTCGAATTACCTTATTTAATTATTGTCTGAATAACCGTATCATTTTGTCATGAGAACCTTTCAACAGAAATTGGAATACGTTTTAGTTTGACTGAATTTGTATAGTTTGGTCCGGTAAAAGTATGGCTTGATACTGAAACTAGTGGAATTAAAAACATTCACAAAGCACACCTTTATGCTCACAAGAGGAAAAAAACATAAGAGAAGGAAATAGAAAGTAACATGCGTCAAAATTTAACCCATAAAATCTGTCTCCAGATCTATCAACAAACATAAAACGAGAAAATAATAGAATCATTCGGCGCTAATGAATATTTACAAAAGAACAAACATAAAAAGAAAGAAAGAAAGTTCAGAGTAACAAAATCAGAAACTCAGAAAAACGGCGGCAACCCATAGTAAGAGCATAAAAACGTTAAAATAAAGATAAAACAGCTGGAAACAAACGAAAACAAAAAAGTATGTCTACATGACACAATGCATAAAGGAACTTAAAAACATCTGCGAAGTTCATATCAAGCTTAAAAACACGAAGTATGATCAAATCAATAATAACTATAATAACTATAGGGGGAATATGGCTTTCGAATTCAATTGTTGCAACCGAAGGCACTGACCAAAAACTGTTCGATCAAAAGGCCATTAAATGTTGTTTCCCAGTTAAAGTTGATCTGCAAAAAAGAAGGCCAATTAAACTGTGAATAATGGAAAACTCAACTGAGAATCTGAGATGAACTAAGCTCAAGGAAATTAGCAACCTTTGTATTTAAAAAAATCAAAAGTATATGATACCAATACTGAAAATGCACAACAACAACATCCAAGCCTTATTCCCAAAATGCACAGAAGGACAAAAATCTGCTAATTCAAACTGCAACATATTTGCAATGCTAGCTTGAAAATTAAAACACTATAAAAAAGATCTCCCAAAAATGTTTTGAAGTTACCCAAAGGTCTTCAACTGGATTGTTAGACAACACAATTCTGTAACCAATGATGCTAATAACTAATCGATGAAAAATTAAAATCCGGGGAACTATTTTAGGTATATTCCCCGGATAGAACTATCATTATTTTCTCCGCAATAGGGATTCGTTTAATCACAAGAGAAGAATGTTTAACTAATTTTGTTTTTTTAGGACTGGTTGAGAATAAAAGGGGTGCCCAAATTTGTGCAAATGACTCATATTTTGCCTATTGTACTAATTTCTTAATTTTTTAGGTAAGTTGGTAAAACAAGTGCAATATGAGTAAATTTAATTGTCTTGTTTCACAATGCACATTCAGGACACGGCAGTGCTATCTCTAATTCTCTTCTAAATATTGTTAAAGCTTAGACCAGACCAATTGACTTCCATTTATAATCAATACTCCCTATCTTAGCAGATGAGGTAATGGCATACCAATGTGATGAGAAGAGAAGCCACCGCCCCGTGGAACTTTAGCAGATGCAGAAAAGTTCCCTTCTTGCACATTAGGATAAGCATGTGTTAACCCTAATGGCATTCCCGCACCTGACATCCCATAAGCTCCAAGCATCCCTAAGTTAGCCCCTCCAAAACCCCCCATTGTTGTAGCATAACCGGCACCTGCCATACCAGGTTGGCCCGCTTGGCTTGAACCTGCCACACTTTGGCCCAATCCACCGATTCCCAACATCCCTAAGTTGGAATTGCCAATCAGCCGACTATACAATGGGTTCAGCAGAGCTGCATTCTGGCTTTGACTCAACACAGCCATGGCAGTCAACACATCAGGCCCTGCTTGCAATGGTTGAAACGGATGTTGCACCACAGCTGTAGTGATTCCCACCGCCCCTCCCACAGTTTTTCCACCGCTTTTCCCTTCTGCAGCCTTCTCGCAATGCAACTGGCGCCCTTCAAATATCTTGTAGGGCTCTTCGAGACACTTTTTGGCTTCCTCTGTGGTTCTGTACACAAACAAAGCGTATCCTTTCCACTTCCCTGTGTGCGGGTCCATCCCATATGGGCCGCTCTCGATCTCCCCAAACTTCCCGAAGAAATCCCTCAACTTTTGCGCATCCGTTTCTAGCGCCACGTTGCTCACGTAGATCTTCCGACCACTCAAGTCCTGCTGAGCCGAACCGGATCCAGGGGCGGCGGGTCCGGAAGATGCCAGCTGGCACGAGGCAAACCGATTCCCAATTCTCTTCTTCGGTTCCTTTAGGGCTTTGATGGCAGCTTTTCTTGTCTTGAACACGATGAAGGCATAACCTTTACACTTTCCGGTGACGCGATCGGTGACAACATTGCAGTCTTCAACTTCTCCGTAAGTTTGGAAGACAGAGAGGAGGGCTTCGCGAGTGGAGTCGTAGCAGAGGCCGTACACAAAGATTTTCCGGTGAGAGATATCAGAATCTGCGAGGGAGCGGATGGAGGAGAAGAGGGAGGGATGGTGGAGAGCGGCATCGGCGGCGAGGGCGATAAGCTGGTCTTTGGAGAAGGGTTCAAGGAGGGCCTGGATCTCCTCAAGCGACGATTCGGAATCGGATTCGTGCGGGGCAACGTTGGAGTTCGAATTGTTATTGTTCTTCTTGAGTTTCTTGTTATGAGTTTTGGGTACGTCTGATTTGTTGGCAAGGTTTCGCTTCTTCAACTGATCCTTCTTCGCCATGGGTAGACAGACAGGTAGAGAGAAAGGCGGACTATAGGGTTTCGGGTTTGTTTATCCGATTGCGAGAAGACGGTGAAGAAAGACTACTTAAACGGGCCTTATGACCGACGCCTGCCTCTATCCGTGTTCAGGCTACTTCATTTCTATATATATCTTGTTAGATGATTGGGTAAACAAAGTCTGGGTGGTGTAGTCGGTTATCACGCTAGTCTCACACACTAGAGGTCCCCGGTTCGAACCCGGGCTCAGACATGGAACCAAATTTTTTTTGTTTTTAAGTTCTGCTTTTTTACTTTGGCTTGTCATTTTTAATTTTGGACCCCTACACTTGCACACAAAAACCTGGTTATATTATTAACCGTAAGCAATGTTCTAAAATGAGTAAGACATGTCATATTATTAACTACAAGCAAATGTACCAAATTTCATATGAAAAAATCCTAGTAGTGAATGGATCAAAATAACGACGAGACAATGTTACGGGGATGAGGATATCATATACCAGTAATATATAAGAACTTTATACTCCGTATTTTTCTAACTTCCAACCAAAGTAGATTTCAAGAGTCCTAAACAAAAGAATTATAAATTTACCTACATAAAAGCTAGGATTTTAAAATTTAGTTAAATGGTAATATATAATAATGATAATGGTAACGTAATGGTAATGTTAACGGTAGCGGTAACGGACCAACGGTAAAGATAAAAGTAAGGATGACGGTAATGGTAATGATAATGAGTGCACATAATATTTAAAAATCCGGGGTTGGAAAGAACAAGTGATTGCCACACATCAGAGTGAATTAATTACAGCGGGAAAAAGAACTATGACTAGCATCTCAAAAAGGTAAACGTTGAGATGTGTTCGATCGGCAGAATACCAGTCATAACCACAATTTGAAGAACTAGAAATATTCACTCCGTCCCTTAAAACTTTGTCAACTTTCCTTTTTTGGATGTCCCACTAACTTTGCCACTTTCCATTTTAAGTAAAGAATTTGGGGGTTCCAGTCAATTCTCTCTCCTCTGCACAAACCTCCACCACACAGTTTTTCTTTATTAATCTCCGTGTCGGTCAAACTTGGCAAAGTTTTAAGGAGTAGTAAGTTTTTAAGTGCGCAACAAGCGTAAAACATTTTCACTACAGTGACCTAATCTACGATGCCACACAGAGTCAGATATAATAATGGAAGATAAAGCTATAGGTGCAGGATGGTTGAGGCTAATGGGGTAGAGATGTCCATTATTGTGCGCCCCGAAGAAGAACTGCCCCCGAAATTTGACACAGAATTGGAGTTGGAACTGAACCAAGAATACCGTCAGCTGGGAAGCCTGCGAAGTCAAAATAAGTACCAGAAGCATGTTTAGCATTAATATTTAAAGTGGACAAGACAGATTTACTAGATGCGGCATTAGGAGGTCTCGGAGGAATGCCACCCCCTACTGTTGAAGGCTTGGGCCCTGCGGATAGCCCCACGGCGTATAGCCATGCTGCGGCTGAAATCTTCGCCTAGCGCGGCCTCCTCTGCCGCGAAATGTCGTGGCCTATCCTTGCTGCTCGACGCCATTTTGAGCCCCAAAAGCCTGTTGTAACGGTAAATTATCTTGCTGACACAGGAAAAGAACATTTTGTCCTAGCTCTAAAAGTCTATGATGAAGAATGTGAGGGAGAAAACTCTCAGGAAACAAGGAGATGGTGCCCACAATAGATTTATAATCATGCCCCAATCCAAGTAGCGTGTATTTCAATAATTCTTTGTGAGACACAGGGGAATTTATCGTTGCTAAAGCATCAGCCAAATTTTTAATGTCGCGTAAATAATGCTACATAGACTGGTTTTATTTCCTTTTGGTATTAGACATCAGGTGTTTAAGCTCCATTGATCTAGCCAAGTTGGCAGACATAAATTGAGTTTACAAACGGTCCCATATACCAAATGAATGTAACAAACAACAAAGAACAAATTTTTTGATCCACCTGGAATCAATGATAATAGTTTGTATTAATGATTTGATGATTATTAAAATCCATTGTGTAAATGGGAGGTACCTGAATAGAGTCGTCTACAATACCAAAAATACCTTGGGACACGAGGAAGAATTCAAACTGAGCGTGCCAAGTAAAGTAGTCTTCGACTGCTTTGAGTTTAATACTGACAATCTGGCAGACATTAGCGATTCCATGAGAGACTGATTGTGCCAGGAGTGCCATAAGAGAACCAAAGAGATAGGGGATTGTCATGTGTCGGTGGAGCGGTAGCCGGTAGTCTAGAAAAAGACGGCCCAGAGAAAGAGGAGCTTGATTGCGGTTGCGGACGGGACACTGCCGAAGAGACTGTCGGTTACCAAGGAAAACTAAGGCGCAGTTGTGTTCGGAGTGAAAGACGACAACATGGGGAAGATTATCTGCAACGACGTGGATGTGAGCCGCACCGAAGCAGACGTAGGTGCCGGCTCGGAGGTCTCCTGAAAAACAGAAGTGACGACCGACGAAGAGAAGGTGTCGGCCTCACTGCTGGACTATATATCCTTCGTGGCAGAGATCGGCGGAGACGTGACGGAGGTCAGTGGCGCCATGGAGGTGGTTGTATGCAACATGGCTGCGACGGTTTAGAGAGAAGAAGAAGAAAAATAGGGATTTTCCGTAGGCTTGATACCATGTGGGATAATGGAATAGGATACTCTAATAGGAGTCTTGACATGTGTATTTATAATAGGAGAGTCCAAATACAAGACGAAACAAATATCCCTATATGTATTCAATTAGTATCAACTTTTATATAAATTAAAGAAAATGTACAAAAATTAAATAACAAAAGTATTACTCCCTATGTTCTCCTAATATTGTCTCAGTTTTTCCTTTTGGTCTGCCCATTGAAATTGTCACATAGCAATTTTGGTAAACTTTGTGTGATTCTAAACATTCTTACTTTATTCTTACTTTCGCAAGTCAATAGCAATCAAATAAACTCAATTTTCTTAATATTGTGTCATCTCATCATGTCCCAATGTTAGTAGAATAGAAGCAGTAAAAACTGAAATCTGAAAACTACTTTTACATATATTTGATACATGATTTTGACTAATGTTGTCATTCACTCATCCCTAATCCGCTTTATATCTAATTCGCTCTTAGATAATACAAAAAGTCATATTGACGAGCCTATAATGTATTCCACCGATCTACTCGGGCTTTTCTATTAATTGTAATCGATATTAAAGATATATTAATATTTTTAATATACTAATATTAATAAATATTAGTATATTAAAGTATATACTAATATATATTACATATTAATTTAAATTAATATTATTAATATTAAATATATACGAAGTATTAATTTATACACACATATAAAATTAGGCTCGCGAGCTAGCGAGCCTAAAATTAGTAGGCTTGTTTATGGCTCGACTGCTTAACGAGCCGGCTCGAGCTCGAGTTTGACCGAACTCGATTCGAGCTTTGACCGAGCAGCTCACGAGCGACTCACGAGCGGCTCGGCTCGTTTGCACCCCTAATGCTTATTATCAGGGTAAAGGGCAGCGCGTGTTGCCGCAAGTTCAACTTCACAACTGAAGGAGAATGGTACCAGGTGGAAGAAACGATATTAGGCAGTTATTAAAGCCAACATTGATAGAGTTATTGATGATAGGAGAGGGAAGTGAGCTTGCGGCTGGGTCGCTCGAGATAGTGGAGGATCCTTTCTACAAGGAGGTGCACGACTTCTACAGCAGATTGGTCATATAAGTTCAGTCGACGGAAGCAGTGGGTGTTAAAAATGTGATTTTATGGGCCAAAGCTAAAGGCTGAACGCGCGTGGAATTTGAAACATGTGTGCTACTATTGGACCAAATATTTGACGGTTCTAATCTAATTTCTGAGAATTGATCATGGAAGTTAATGAATATAATGTTGGCCGTTATGACATTTTTATGCATTAATATAACCATTAATATGATTAAAGGGGGAATTAATTACAATTGACTAATATTTATGACGGGTCTTAAACCGTCAGTCAACGAAGGAACGATCGAGACATAACATTGTGATGACATAAAATGGAAGAGCCAGCCAAGAAGTGTACAAAGTGAAAGCAATTACGGAGGAAGCCTATTCTCTCGGCTGACATGTTGGAATCAACGGAACGGACTAGCAGCTTGGTGATAATATTTAAAGCTATGCAATCACAAAGAATGAATGCTAGTTAAAGCTGGAGATATCTCCTAGTTGGAGGTTAGAAATTTCTTGAAATAAATCACAAAATATATTGTTGTAAACACCCAGGAGATCAGTTGTTATAATCCTAGTGTGGATAGATAGATAGATAGAGTACCTTTTGATTCCCACTGGATCAATTGAAAAAATTCTGAATGATTGAGTAACTTGGAGTGGTGTGTACTCCTTGTGAAACACCTTTCAATCTAGACCATATAAGTTGTAAAGGCTAGATAGATTGGGCACTAAGTGTATTAGGCTTAATACTTTAGTGGAAATCCATCTGGAAGAGGGTGGGACTGGACGTAGGAGGATTACACCACCTCTGAATCAGGATATATTGTGTGTTGATTTACTTTCAGTCAACAAAGCACACACCCAATACTTCTCATTAAACAAAGTAGTCTGCCAGCAGTATCCTCAGCAGTAGCCTCAACTGACGCCACTGCTCAGCCTACTGCTTAATTACATACTTTCTTTGAGACATCTTTGCATTACAGTATTCTTACAAAATCACTACAAAGAAGTGTGTTCAAACATATTTCTGGGAATCATAACTCAGCAGGTACCTCAGATGTTCCCTGACAATCACCCAACTGCTCAGGCCACTGCTCCCATAAACTTTCACTTAAACTCAGCTGAGCACATTTCTAGAAAGCTCATATCATTCTAGATAAGATTCCGCAATCAGCCCTCTCATATTCTCATCTTTTATCAAGCAGTTGCCTCAGCAGTTCCCTAGCAACCACCCAACTGCTCAGACCATTGCTATCATAAACTCCCACTTTCCACTAAGCCCTATACATCTCCAGATTGCCCTCATTATCCTGAGCAAGAATCCATAATTAATTTCATCATAAGCTATATATTTCCTCAGCGGTTCCCTGATTTTCAC